ACCTCAAATAAACTGAACAAAACAAGCAGGAAGCTCAGCATTGTGGGAAATATTGAGAAAATTCTTAAAACTATATCTCAAATAAACTGAACAAAACAAGCAGGAAGCTTTCTTTCCAGATTAGGTTCCAACACAGGAACTAATCTGGTATATTTCTCGGGGCTCGGCCAGCGAGTTGATTTTTCTTGGGGTAGTCCCATCTTCCCGCCAAATCAAATTCTATGCCTCTAGGATTTAATGACCCCTCCTACCCTGTTCTTTGGCTCAGTCAGGTTTGGTAATTTTTTTCTTCTTTCATTAAGCATGCATAATTATACAGTGAGGCAGATGACGGGAAACTGACCATCCCAGGATACCCAACTCCCGATTTACTGCCATGTTTTAAACTAAGAAAAGAATGACTGCAAATGTGTCCAGGCTCTGATTGTGTATTCTTGATGTACATATATATTCACAAATTATTGTTATCAGGGATATGAAATTTTTGAAAGAATTCTTGACCAACATCTAAATTGTTTAGTTATCATCAAATCCACATGAAGTGTAGAATACCTTGTACACAGATTGCTAAAGAAATCATGGCTTACATTAATACTGTCAACAACTAAAACTGTGTTTAATGTGTGTGTATATATATAATAAAGGTTTTTTTATTATGTTATATTTTCTTCCTAGAACTGATAGTCAAACTTTAACCCTTTGACTACAGCTGCTTTAAACGCACAAAAAAAAATTCGTAAGCTGTACCCTGTATACGGCACACTTGCATTCAGCTGCTGGAGGCAGACTATACCCTATACGGCCAATCAGCAGTCAATGAGTTTACAGGCTCTAATTATAGATAAAACCAATATTGTAATTCATGATGTCAGAAAATTATGTAGGTTAAATAAGTCTTGATACAAAATAACGAAAACAGTATAACACGGGCACTTTCGAAAGGCAAGCTGGGAATTTCCAGAAATATTGTAATATCATCATTGCATTAATTTAAATACATTTGTTCCTGTGTGAGTGTGTATGACTGAAGGTTTGTGAATTAAATTATGTATATTTGTGTATACAGTCTGGGTTTTAAGTATACTATTAATATTCGTTTGTATGTTCTAGATTTCCGCAGTTAGTAAATTTCAGGAATATGCGCGACTCCCTCAAAATCAACTCAGTATTTCTTTCCATACTCAGAAGTAATCAATATCTACGAGTAATTTAAACTTTTACACCCACAAATAACAAAATGTAAATTCTTTGAACAAGAGCTATGTATAGATTGATAACAATAACAATTCAGTTGATAATTTTAAAACAGTCTAATCTTAATTAAATATTTTTTCTTTTTTACAACAGAAATTATAAGCAATAACATGGTGACAACAACAACAACAAAAATTTCAAAAGAACAAAGGTTCCCACTAAAATTAAATTGTGCTCACATTAATTAAAACTTAAGCTACAGAAGAGAAACATAGCTTTTTAATTGACATTAGTTGTAATTAATATTTTAAATTAAAACTTGTCTTTCCAATGTTGTATATTTGACCCCAGAATTTTGTTTTCAAAACGTTTAATTCTGATTTTATATTTTTCAAAAATCTTCCAGTATGAGTAGCCACCTGGTTCTTTTTTTATGGAGTTAGTTAGGCAGACAATTCTGACATGAGTTGTTTTTAATTTATAATTAAGTCACTAATAATTAACTTTTCATGTTATTACTACTTTGTTAAACTGATAAGGATTTCTTATAAAAATAAAAGATCCCTTTTAAAAAATTTGCCCAATAAGAAAAACAAAACACTTACACCTAGATAGTTCAATTGTTGTATTTAGTTTCCAAAACTGTCACCCCATAAACCACACGAATTGCAAACATTAGTCCATTGTTGACCAGTAGCAACATAGATCTGAGACTAATCTTCTTCGGCCACTAGACAGTAGTTTGAATGAGTTTACTCCCTACATTTTAGAATATCGAGCAATTACTTACAGAAGAAAATGTGAAAACACCAAAGCTGACGAGTAAATGACATATCAACGAGCTCTGATAATTATCAGAAACAATGTAACGTGTCGAGCTAAGCTTATACAGTTGTCTTCTAACAATACATTTCAATGGATATATCCATATTGCAGGAAGTGATGAAATTGTTGGCAAAAATAAGGATCTTATAATAAGCAGATCTGTTCACAATCAAGTGTAGCTGGAAATATAGATAGTAATATCCAGTATATAGAAAAAAGTTTTTCACATTCTGAAGCACATCATTCAATCATGCAAATATGACCCCAATGCTTCATTACAGAATGTATAAAAGAATAAAATCTGATTTTTGTTTCTCAAGTTTACAGCTTATCAGAGTTTGGAAAAAAAAACTGTTCCCTTGGGTATAGATACCAATGGAAACTGACTTTTTTTTCTTTTCTTTTTTTTTCATTTCATAACCAAAAACTAACTGATATTAACAGGATATACAGTTGATGAAATATACAATGATACAGTTTTTTTCCCATAGGTTGTATGACTACCATACACTTTAATTCTAACTAATACATCTAACCTGGTGCTCGGAAAGGTGGCTTCTTAGAGTTACATCCTATTCTGATAGGCATGTAACACAACAGGTACAACAAGCAGCCTGCAATTCCATCCCATAAAGTTTGACACTCACTTGATATTTATCAATTTCAGACATTTCTTCCAAAATAAAAATTGTGTGTGTTTATTACGTTTAATTTTACCAAATTCGAAGCACCGAGACACGTTTCTACGTTTAACAGTTACTAAAAGTGCTACAACTAAACTTTTACTTTTTTTATTCCAATCCATTTAGCTTCATACTGATAGGATTAGTACTAAGTCTTCAGACATCATCTAAAACTTTTGCCAGTGCGGTTTGTGCTGAAGCAAAAAAAAAATATATATATGTATATATAAATAAATAGAAAACTCCTGGTACACAGACATACTTTTAAGAGATCGGGTGTGTAAAAAATAAAGCAACTTTACACGCTGTGCTCAAATTCGTGTCTTCGATCATTTCTTATTTACACACATACTGCAATGGAAGAATGTGAAATCTCCTTTTTATAAATCTTCAATTTTTATTAGATGTCTCCTTTCTTTTCTAGGAAAGCAGTTTGAATCTAAGCTCCAGGAAAGCAAAGCAAGCACTTGCTGGTAGTAAGCTGTTTGATATTACACCTATCTGTATTCCTTAAACCTCTCCCCTGTTTAAAAAAAAAAAGGATAATCTTAGAACTTTTATACAAACCAGTGTATTATCACATCATTTTAAAACATCTTAAATTATAATAAGTATAATAAAATTTTTTATAAAGACAAGCAGGGATTAATATATATGTAACCTATGGTAATGTATAAGATTTTAATGCTACAAAAAGTATTTTATCTTTTAATTTGGTAAATCACTAGATATATTAGTCTGAGCCAAAGAAGGAATCATTTTTTTTTTAATTTTAAGTAACTCAGTTTTTGTAGTTTTGATGTTTTTGTTTCAATACTTTTTGTAGCATTAAAACTTTATATATTACTATAGCTAGCTAGTTTATGTATGTGTCGATCCCTACTTGTCTTTATAATTTTATTATACTTGTTTGTTTCCTTTTTAATAGCTTTATTTTTGTGCAATATCAATACCAAACATGGGACACGCATGTACCCAATTCGATTTTATTATTCATCAGGATCTCTACCAACCTACCCAAATTATATGCCCAAAGTGGAGCATCACCCATTTTATGCTGGTATCTTTTTTTGGTATAAGAAAGGAATCATTGGGACCCCAGACAGAAGAGTTCTGTGAAAAAATTACTGTGATAAGGTTCGTCATTTATTTGTACGCTTCTCTGGAAAAGTCAACGACGTATCTAGATTAAAATTCATTGAAATAGTGAAATTTTGGTTCACTCCATAAACATATATGTAGCGATTTAGGCAGCTTTATAGGTATAATAAGCTCTAGTTTTACTCAGCTAATACTGTAAAATAGTCATTGTTAATATTTAGACAATTTAAAGGTGGCTTTAAACGAGCGATTTTTATGGCCACCATTTTGTTCCTTCATGATCCCTACTATTAAGTACTATCTTAATTAATGATTTTATGGGTTTCAGGAGGACAATTTTTGGTTAATTTTTTTCTTTCTCTTTCTCTCTCTGTTTTTTTTTATAAATGATTTTAAAAATGAATATTCAATACAAATTATTAAAGTAAGATATTCATCAGCAGGGCATGAAATTAACTTTTTAGGTGCAAACAAACACGGTTATCAAAATATTTGTGTACCAGCACCACCACCACTTTAACAAAATTGTAAGTACCCAGTTATTTTCTCTCCCTCTCAACAAACACCCAACATTACAACTATTTTGTAGAATGACACTTAACATAAAGCATTCTTTAGCTTAAAATTCCAACTTTCAAGTCTTGATCATCTAAGACATGGATGGCATTAGGGCAAATGCATTGTTTTACTAATGTTTAAGTCTAGGTGTTGGCCTATACTTGGTACAAGACAAGTAATAATTATATAAAATATTTATAAGCGTGCATGTAGAGATTCACCTAGGTTGGAAAGCAACAGATTACCTAATAGTAAAAACCAAAACATAAATGCCATCGCCAGTCTGTACAAGATCCCACATTACTTTAATAACTAGTATTGTCCAAGGTAGGTGAGGTAACACAACATTGCCCTGTAAATTGGATTAACTTTCCGTATGCAGCCAACATGATTTCAAGTCCTGCTCAAATAATGGTTTGTTTGGTGACTTAACAGAAATCAACCATATGGTCTACAAGTTACTAGCTGATATACAACTTGCACTTGCAATGTTTTTGGGGCTGTAAAATCATGATTTCATGAAACAAAGATATCACTTTTGGCTTTACATTCAGAGTACGCTCCCCTTCATACTAACGGGAAACGGTAGTGTTGTATTATCTCGTATGAGAAGGTTGCTGCAACATGTTTTGAGCCAATGGGCACACCACACCCTTTTAAATTCTTACATGCTGGACATGGTTTTTTTTTAGAAGCATTTAGTAATGTTTTCATTAATTCGATTGAGAAGAGATTTTTACCTAAACTGTTTCTTGATTACTAGGTTGTATCTTAAGAAGTTTTATATTTATTTATGTTAATAAAACTGAAATTATAATCCTAGTGTCAACAAACAGCCTAGCTAAAATCAATTGTTCAGCATTTTATTTTTTTGGTATGCCAATTAGGTAAAAAAACAAACAAAAAAAACGTATTATATCAATGCTGGGCAAAAAAAATTTTTTTTTCTTTTATAGCAAAGCCACATCGGGGCTGTCTGCTTTGTACACCAAGAGGAATCAAACCCCTTATTTTAGCATTGTACATCCAAAGATATACTGCTATCCCACCTGGAGACCAAAGAGTTATCTGTGCTCTGCCTACCATGGGTATCAAAACCTGGTTTTTAACGTTTTAAGTCCCCAAACATACCGCTGTGCCACTCGGGGCAAAAAAAGACTACCCTTTTTCTTTCCTTATGAGCAATTATACCTTACAAAATTTCTTTACACCTAGAATCACTGATGGGGTCCAAACCCCCAATATCTTACTAAACATGTTTTACTGGAGTATTTGTGCATCAGACTGCTTATGGACCCATGACTTAATGGTTATACTGGTCCTATGCAAAAAGTTCATCTCAAATTACAAAACATTTCATCAAGTAAGGTAAGTTGAATCAACATCTAGACATTTATTGGTTAATAAAAATTTAAAAAAATAATTTTTGGATTCTAACTTTTAACTGATATGTTAGGATACTTTAGGCATACAGTAGTATTTGTTATGCATTTTACACCATCAATATGGGTTTGATCTTTAAAAATACACCTGTTAAAAATGGAGTGCAGTACCATCACAGAATATATATATATTTAAAAATAATAATAAACAAACTTATAATTACTTATCAAAGCTCTAACACTTTCTGCCATAATTTCACGTGAGAATGAACACTTACCTGGGTAAAATATTTTCCATACTTGGTCTGGGAGGTACAGGGGGTTTCTTCACCTCTGAATTTCTTGGGGCTGGAATTGGGGTAACTGATGTAGGACTTGGTGATAAACAAGGAACTGCGAGTCCTGAGAGTGAACTTGTTGACCTGGATAGAGTCTTGGCTGGATCACTGCCACCCGCTGCCTCAGTGGTATATTTTATATTGGTGTATTCCCGTCCCATCAATAAACTTTTCTAAAAATGAAATATCAATGGAACCTAAATAACCATACACTGCCGTTACAAAGTTATTTAAAGTGACAGTAAATAAGTAAAATGAAAACACCGTACGTTAAAATATTACCCATTATCGAATAAATATTCCTCTAAATGTGTGTAACACCGCAATACCAATCCTCTAAACGTGTCTAACACACCACAATACTCAGCCTATACACGTGACTAACATACCACAATACTCAGTAAATAAGTAAAATGAAAACACTGTACGTAAAATATTACCCATTATCGAATAAATATTCCTCTAAATGTGTGTAACACCACAATACTCAGCCCATACACGTGACTAACACACCACAATACTCAGTAAATAAGTAAAATGAAAACACTGTATGTAAAATATTACCCATTATCGAATAAATATTCCTCTAAATGTATGTAACACCACAATACCCATCCTCTAAACGTGTCTAACACACCACAGTACTCAGCCTATACATGTGTCTAACATACCACAATACTCAGTAAATAAGTAAAATGAAAACACTGTACGTAAAATATTACCCATTATCGAATAAATATGGTATTTTCTAATGCCACACTAGCATTTCCAAAAATCAGCTGTATCAATTAACCACGGTTAAAGATAATATCCATCTTCCTCACGCATCAGAACTTATTGTACAAGATAAAGTAATGTTCAAAAGATATTTAAACTTGTAGATCATTGTTAATAACAAACTAATAGTATATCTTAACAATTATCAAAAATCTATAATGTGGAATATATATATGCATCATACAGAATTTTCTACGTTAATAACGTGACAAAAACAAGTCAAATTATACAAAACCCTAGTGTTTAATAGTTGGGAAAAAACATAAGGAACAAAGCGAGAAAGGGTGGAGTTAAGATAAGAAAGAACTCTTGGAGGGATGGAAGTCTTCATCACTCACACAGGAACTAAGAACTTGTATGTAGAAAAACAGAAATACCTGGATTTTAATAAAAAAATTATAAAGTCACTTGTGGAAAAAATAATCATTCATTAAAAATTGAAATACGAACCAATAACCTCAATATGGTAGAAGTACCGAGTGGGATCTAACTTCTAGATGGCCAACTAGCAGCTCACAGGCCAGATCTGGTCGGTGAAGTACCGAGTGGGATCTAACTTCTAGATGGCCATCTAGCAGCTCACAGGTCAGATCTGGTCGGTGAAGTACTGAGTGGGATCGAACTCCTAGATGGCCAACTAGCAGCTCACAGGCCGGATCTGGTCGGTGAAGTACTGAGTGGGATCTAACTTCTAGATAGCCAACTAGCAGCTCACAGGCCGGATCTGGTCGGTGAAGTATTTTATCTGCCCTCCAACCCCAAATTATATTTCATTTTGGAAAAACTGGAAAAACAAAACCATGACCAAGCAAACCAGTCCCATGATGATTATGACAACTTTCTTCAAATGTTTAACTCTGCTGTTTATTTAAAACCATATAATTAACTATAGTAAATAGTAGGAATCAAAATTGAAATTAAGTAAATATTCTAAACATACTTTACCCAGCCACAGAGTTTCAACCCCCAGACAGCAGTCTTTATAAGAAACTGGCCCACAAGCACAAAGAAAGTTGGCCATTCCTGAGCTAACATATCATTCTACTCAAGAGTGAGCTGAACTTGGTAACAAGTACTGATTATCAGAGATCTAAAGAGAAGATTTCTGACAGACACGGGAAACACACGAAGATGCTAACTTCCTCATAATAAAACATTATACTAAGTCTAGTGACTTGTTCAGCCATCCAGATCGTACAGCGGGTGCAAGGTGTCCTAAGAATTTAATTACCATTTTAACATTGCAAAATAACCATGCGAATAACATAAATTTGAGGGCTAGTAATTCGTACAATCAATAAGTCATGCACCACAATGACAGACAGCTAAGATAAAACAATAGCATTGAATCAAACTACTAACTTGTTCGGCCTGCATCCTTTGTTGTAAAGTGTCAATGTAATGTTGAACGGCAAGGTAAACAAATTTATACTGGGCTTCTGTCTGCACCATGCCAGACCGTCTAGACCGTACTGTCTGGATTGTTCTTTGGATGTCAATCTCACAGTCTAACCCTAAATATTTTGGAAACATAATGTAAATAACATAGGGTTGTTAGGATTTATTATTTAGTTTAAGGCTGAAAACAGTGTTAACAGCAAAGATACCAGCTAATAAAACAATGCATTCTAAGTATTATAAGTAATAACATAAGAGCAGTATATCTAATTAGCTATAACCATTATTAGATACATTTTAATTTTTAATCTCAGTAGGAATTTAACATTAAGTATAGCGCATAGCAACCTCGAGCTTGTACAGTCAGTGAAAAGATTACTCAAATACAAACAAAATATCAAATTCGATAACGAGGAACCCACTTTGAGACTAATACTGCTTGGAGACGGCTTGAATGATGACAAAACCTTGTCGAAACGTTGTACATTTGCTGTTATGTTAAACTTACATTAAAGTTTTTCTTCATTACCCATTCAAGCCGTCTCCAGCCATTATTAAACAAAATATCATAACCATAGTTTGTGTTCTAGTCACCAAAAAAAAAATAAAATAGCTTGACTTAACTGTTAAAAACATGTAAAAAATAAAAATCTTGAATCATTCAGGGCAAAACAAGTGGGAATAGTAAAATTCTGATTATACTCGTATGCAAGTAGCAGTAAAGACGTTTAGCCCTGGTGTAACCACAACAGTGGAGCTACTTGGGTGGGGAAAGAAGTAAACAATAGTAATGTAAATTAATTTACCTTGTTTTCGTATTTGGTCTACAATCATGTCTATTACAATGAAAGTTCCAGTTCTTCCAATACCAGCACTGAAAGAAGAAGATTCAAAACAATATTTATTTCATATAAAATATCTTTTATGATGTACAAGCTTCACTAGTAACATCACAATCTAATTGGTTTACGATTTTTAAGTAATATAAGTAATACACCTGTTAAACCACAATTATTTATTACTGCAAAACAAAGATACTGTGCGACGTGTTTGACCACATTTGTTCGGGTCATCACGAGGCAGTAACCTAAAATATTTTGTAGAGAGACTTCGCTTACAGAAGCTTTGTTAAAATGTTCTAAACTGTGAGATCATAGTTTAATCAAAAGAGGATTGCATTATCTTTTTCTCAACATTTGTTATCATCATGAAAGGTTTTCTTACTAAGTCATTCTTTTACAAACTTATAAATATTGTTTTGAAAAGTTAGGATTGAACACAAATTTTTACAGTAGTTATTCTTCACAAGCATACCATGAAATCTAAATAGGTGATCTAAATAAACAATGATGTCAATTATACTTTCCATTGCCTGGTGTGTATACTACACCTACACAAGTTCCAGAGACTGCACACACTTAAGTAAAACAAAGAAAAACAATCTTACTGAACAAGATGCACATGTTCGATGCCAGTGCAGTTCACGCACACCTGAATCCCACTGTAAATAGTTAGTAAGTGATCTGACCTATAAGTTTGTTTCTCCTTTACCCCCAACTTTTGATTTAGGTAAACATACATCAAGTGGAATCGTAACAGGGAAAGGTACGTGACCAACTGCAGTAAAACAATGAAATCTGATCTAATTCAAACGCACCTCTGCCACTGTTTTGGATATTTGGATCAGATGTGTATGCACAGGTAAAATTTAGCTTTGTTTTCTAACAAAATATGTGATTTTGTTTGTTGATAATACAGTTAGACTAATATTAGGATTTTTTTAATTATTATCAAACGCACTATTGTCTGTTGCGATATTCTTAACTACGAAAAAGCTTAAAATGCTCAATGAAAAGTTAAATTTTCAAATTTGTAAAAACAAAAACTATCAATGTAATAGTGACTCGTTGTATTTTCATACCTGTAATGCATTAATTAATAGAAAAATAATCTCGAATTTGAAAAGCTGTCATTAATTCTTCAATAATGAAAATAAAATAGATTTAATAAGTTAACTTAGATCTTGAACAAGCATAAAACATCTGATAGGTTCTTATAAGGTTACTGTTTGGTAGGAAAACATTGTTATTAAGCTGTAGATTTTATCTAATTTAAATACAGGTATTTTAATTAAAGTATATAGTTATTTAGCGATATCTTACCTGCAGTGGACAACGATAGGGCCAGCATCAGGTATAGAGTCTTGTCGACGGTTGACATCATGAAGAAAATTGAGAACACAACCAGGATCAGAGGGAACACCGTGGTCTGGCCAGGCAGTGAAGTGATACTGATATATGGTAATTGACTTACACTAAGGAAAAATAATATCACACATATGAAATAAGAATCATAAGATAATACTATCCATTCCTCGTACCAAATAACCAATAAAAGTGGTTTAATTCTTTATATAAATTGAAATAACGTTATTCTAATTTTGAGCAAACAGTTTGTAGTACTTTTAAAAATTACTAACCAAACAATTAGTTGTTTATCAATCAAATTATCTTAAGATCTTCTTGTTTTACTTTATGAGAAGTTGTATGAATCAGATCAACTTACAGCCATGAAACCAAATTAAAGTTTACAATAAGTTGAAAATAATTAATACCGTAAAAAACTAATCATTATGTGACAAAGTTACACTTTTCAAACTTATTTTTCATCCCAAAATTAACTTCAACATGGGAATTATTAAATTTTTTATTTGTCTTCCAGCATAAATATGAGAGTAAATTTAAAAATGTCAATTCTGTTATAAAAGTCTCCCTGTTAGCTAGTCAACATGAAATAACTTTTTCATGGTTGCAAATAAACTGAAAATGAGGAAAATGTAAAGTTATAAATTTTGATGTTTTACCCCAGTGTGTGACAAGCACTTGAATTGTAACTCAGAACCACTTTTCTTCTCATTAACATACCATCCATACCTATAGAAATATGTGGATGTCATTAAAAATACAACTAGTTTTATTGATTTTTTATCCCCACCTAAATTTCATCAAGTTTATCCTTTTTTTAAAAAAAAAAACTGAAAATATACTACACAAATAATTTATTTTGTAAGTCAACATCAACAAAATTGTAAGTTTAAAACTACACAAGAAATCTTATTTAATTCAATCAGCTCTTAAAATATCAGCACATTTAAAGGCAACAATATTTTCTACAATACTTTGAACCAGTAATTTGTCTACACCATTAAAATGTGTTGCAGAATATTTTTCACTGCTAAGTATTGTTGTTGACTAGATAATAAAGATGAATCTTCTATTTAAAAATGACTACTAAAAAACTCCACGAAGAACAAAACAATTACCTGGTCTTCTTTGGACACTTGAAATTCCCGTAAGGTATAGTCGGCTGTGGATGATTCAGCTAAACTCTTTACAGTTATTTTCCCCCACACCTTTTCTTGCCCTTCTTCTGGCCAGTATCTATAACACTTATTCTAAAACAATAATATAAACATATCAGTGTTACAAAGCAGTTCTATCTCAAATACAAAAATTATACAGTTCTCTGCTTAAGTGATAGTATTGGTTTATTATTATTATTATTATAAGACAATAACAAAAGAAACAATTATATACCTTTCCTCTTTCAACTTCTTTTGTTGTCATAACAACAACCCTTGTATTTTCTTGAATTACCATCCTCCAGAAGTCTTCTGCTGTATTTGCTAGACATCCTTGGGTAGCTATGTAATACTTTTTCCCATTATCTGGGCTGCCGTCATCCTCTGCCTGGTAACAAAGTAGAGGTACATATTAATTATTAAACAACGTCAGATAATTAACTTCACATCTAGATGAACTCACCAATGGTTCTCAAACCTTTTTTATCTCGTGGACCCTTCATGAACCGAGGTTTATCTGCAGAAGCTGATCCTGCAGCGTGTAAAAGTGGCAATAACAAATAAGTATACAAGTTAATAAAATTTTCAAATAAAACATTCTTTTAATTTAATCAAAAATTGTACTTTTTTTTAACTATAATATGAAAACTCAATTTTTACAGTGCTGACAGAATTACCTTTAGAATGCTCACAGAACCCTAAGGGTCAGAAGACCACAGGCTAAAATAACCAGAGACTGCTACTGGATCAACGGGTGACCATAATAATAATGCTGAGAACATAGTTTGTAATAAAATTTGATGTTCTTAAATATACTTTAAGATTTAAAACTGTGAAAAGTTAGTCATCTGGAAATAGAATATCAAGTTTGGAGTAATTTTCTCTTTAAAAAACAATGTTGTGAATTAAGTCAAAATATTTAGTAACCAATACAATAGCTTTGTGGCCTCGAAGACATGAATTATTAAAGCCAAACTATTAAAGTTTTTAAAATAATAATTGGAAATGTTATCACCCCTCATGAGTATACAGTATGTTGAATAAAACTTATATTCACAGACATTCTCATTTGCAGAAACTCTCACAAAACATAGAGAAAGGACAATGGTCTCTTCCTGAATATAAATTAACCTTCTATCCTATCCAGATCATTAAAAAAAAGAACAAAAAAACAGAGGAGGTCCACTGTTATTGGTAGATAAGAAAAAATAATACTTTAGGTTTAAAGAAGAAAAGAAACTATCATCAAGTACGTACTGAAGGAATTACTGAAGGATGTGATGAATTAAAAGTCCACTTGTACAATAATGTACAAAGGTTTAATATTTTATTCAAAAGCCAAGGACTGTAGTTTCTTTTCAGGCACATTGTGCTACTATACAAGTAGTAAAAAAAAACACTAAAATGGATGTTTTTTTGGCACAATGAAAGGTAAAATCTTTATTGTTAGTTACAACCAACTAGTTGTGGTAACACATCATCACCTAGACACTAGCCCTGATGATTTGTTACCAAAACTAGTCGACTGTAACTAATAATAAAGATGTTATCTTTCATTGTGCAAAAAAAAACATCAGTTTTTGTGTTTTTCACTCTTAAAAAGGACTATACTTTTATTTCTAGAAACTTATTTATTTTTACTCCAAGTAAAGTTAGTGTTTTATAAGTATTCTTACTGTTTTCTATTTACAACTCACCTGGATGATATTAGCATTTACATAATCAGAGCCGACCACATTTGGATCCTCATCTCGAAGAATCACCCGAGTATGATCAACTGAGGATAAGTTATAAAAGTCCTATAATTACTTTTTTGTATAGTCTTCAGACAGTATAAAAATTGAAGCATAATATCCATTACATTCAAGACTATTTTGCACAGATAAATTAATTGTGATCTTATTTATACTCTGTATATCTATAGTTGTTTTGTAATCACTCACAAATCAGCTTTGTCTTTTAATTAATACAATCTATGCATATTTCAGAATAACAGCAATCAAATTTTTGAAGTTAAAAGCTCAATGTTAACTTTGATAGAGACAAACAATCAGATTTTTGAAGATAAGAGTCTGAATGTTAATTTTGATAGAGTCAAACAATCAGATTGTTGAAGTTAAAAGTCTGAACGTTAACAAACAATCAGATTTTTGAAGTTAAAAGTCTGAATGTTAACTTTGATAGAGACAAACAATCAGATTTTTGAAGTTAAGTCTGAATGTTAACTTTGATAGAGACAAACAATCAAATTTTTGAAGTTAAAAGTCTGAATGTTAACTTTGATAGAGACAAACAATCAGATTTTTGAAGTTAAAAGTCTGAATGTTAACTTTGATAGAGACAAACAAACTAATGTTACTTACAAGGTAAAATATTTTTATAGCGATTTTTGGCTCGGTTTTCTGGGCGTTGACCTTCTTTCCTGCTATATAAATGTTTACATTCTTGTTGCTGCAAATACTTTACAAAAACAAAAATTAATTGAAACAAAACCAATTCACAATATTTTTAAAAATTTGAAACATTAACATCTTGTTTTGAAAATTTTAAAGGGAAATACATGAAATGACAGTTGCAATCTAACCTATAATTTAATGTTATAAAATAGGTTTTGATAAGGTTTTTTTTTAATCTCATGCAAAGCTACACAAGGGCTAACTGCAGTGAAAGACTAGAGGGAAGGCAGCTAGTCATCACCGGAATGGCACCCGACATTAGAGGTTATGTTGTTGTTTTTTTTTACTTTTTTAGATAAAATGATTTTCAATTTTACAAGAATTAAGGATCTATTAACATCCAAATTCCTCACATACTAAGAATTCAACAGGCAGAACTACCTCTACGTTTTAATGAAGTTACCAACCTCAAATTCTTCCCAAAATCCAGCTTTAGAGCTCTGAATGTTCTCTTTAGACAGCTCCTTGACTCTGTGTTCTATGGTTGATGCTGTAATGCGTGTAGCATTAAATGGTTGCTTCAAGTGCACCACAGTTCCTGTCGTCTCAACCATCGGATTTTTTCTGTAATGGTCTACAAGCTCTCGTAAACTCTCAAACTTTTCTCCGCCACCCACATCAAATTTTCCATCCTAATACACAAGAGAGCAATGTCAGCATCACATCACTTACAAAGATACGTAGTCTAAGAGCAAACAAAACTAACTGAATGAGGGCTAGTAATGTACTTATGACAGAAAATGTATTTCTTATATTTTAAAACCATGCACACGATATCAAATATTTATTTACAAAAGGAGAATCTATATACTAAAACTCTGAGATTGTTTGTTTCTTTGCTTGTTGTGCCGTTTTTGCTGTATTTAATTACAGCAGTAGCCCCATATTTCTAATGAAATGAGAATAGAAACAGAATAAAACAAGTTTCACTAAAATCTGGCCATGGGTTACCGAGTTAGCGCCATTTTTCGGGTCACTTTTATGAAAATTTCTAGCATGAATAATTTTACATCCCACTACCATTCGCGCTCTTTATGAAACTTCTTACTTCACTTTTTTGAAAAATGAAATGGTCTTTCCCTTTACTCCTGATCAA